TGAGTGCAACAAAGAAAGAACACTCCCAACCCTGGCTTTTTTTACAGCTTCAAAATTCCCACTCCTCATTCCTGGATATTCTGATTGGCTGCTGACAGCAGCCCTCCTGTCTCTATTGGATGAAAAACATCCTAGGCAATTTGACAGCCAAATAGTGAAGGAAAGGTTACATGAAAGAGGAAAACATGAAAAAATGAATTGTTCATGTGTCTCTTTCTTTAGTATGAATCATATGTGATTAAAGACTCTTGGGGTGCAATATGTGTGTGTATGTGACCATGAAAAACCCATCCTTAGGATGGTGGAGCACCTGTGATAAAAGACTGCTTATCCATTGTGTTTCAAAGCAATGCTTAAATGAGAAAAGTTTAACTACTCCTTGTTAAGTGTAGTTGGCTTTTTTCTGAAACTGATTTTCCAGTGAGTTCTGCAAAGCAATACACCAAATTTGCAACCTTAAAAAGATTTTCTTTTTATTCCCCTATGTAAACAGAACAATCCTTTTTATGTGAAACCAAGAGTTGCTGTCCACAACTTTGGAGTGAAACACTACGCTGGGGAGGTAATTTTGCTTTTCTGTATTTACTGAAATATTTCCCAAATACTGTTTCAGCAACAGTTCAGTTTTGCCCTTCAGCTGCTTACAAATTGACAGAAGCATTCAGCTTCTCCTCTGCTCTTTACAGCAATACTTCTGACTTGCTGTTAATAAGAGGGCTTTTTAAAAACTAGACTCTGCTTTGACTATTTCCCAATAGGTCCAGTATGATGTCAGAGGAATCTTGGAGAAAAACAGGGACACTTTCAGAGACGACCTCCTGAACCTCTTACGGGAAAGCAGGTATCTCACTATTTCATGGGGAACTTGGTCATGTAAGATGCCAGAATTAGGAGGTGCCAGGCATTATGTGCATAAAGTAGCTCTGTGGCCTGCAGTTTTAAGCAACCTCCCCCCCGTCTGTATATTCTGATACATTGGGGAATGCTGTGTTTACTGTGAAGCACCAGAAGGTTATGTGGATCTGTCACAGTGCTGCAGTCTGGTACAGTGGTGCCTCGCATAGTGACGATAATCGGTGCAGCAAAAATCGCTGCAAAGCGATCTCATCGCTATGCAATATTAAAAAGCCCATAGGAGTGCATTGAAACCCCTTCAATGCGTCCCTATGGGCTTCAGACTCACCTTTAAGCGAAAATCCTCCATACGGCGGCCATTTTTGCTGCCTAGTAAGCGAGGAATCTGTCCCAGAAAACAGTGGGCGGCCATTTTTTTTACCCTGCGGCCATTTTGGAACCGCCGATCAGCTGTTAAAAATCATTGCTTTGAGATGAGCGGTAAGCGAAATAGGGTACCGATCATCGCAAAACGATTTTTCCCCATAGGGAACATCGCAAAGCGATCGCAAAAGCAATCGCAAAAAGTTAATCGCTATGCAATTTTGTCGTTAAACAGGGCACCCGTTAAGCGATGCACCACTGTATAGTGTTGTATTTTACTTGATCAGGTAGAGTGCCAGTTTGTTGCCTGTCCTAAACTGTGGAATGGTAGTAGCTCTGTGACTGGTATGACCATCTATTCATGTTGAGAATCTGTGCTGAAGGTCAGTGGGACAGGCTTCTTTGTCCCCGGATTCTCCTTAATGTGAGCAAACTCTCTTAAAGTGACTGTGTGAGCTCACAGGCTGTGACATGCTTAGCAGATGGGAGAGGCAACACACAAGTCCTTTTGCCTTGGGGAAGCAAGTAACCTGACTTCTATGGAGACTGAAAGAGCTCTTTCTTAACTATAAAGTGATCAAGGTTGAGGAATTCCAAGTGCAATGTTGTGTAATTACAGTCCAAACAAATTACAGACCTAGAACAAGTTGATAATCAGTTTCCATTTATTGGGGAATGTGTAAACTTAAAATGTCTGCATTTTTTAACAGAATGCTTTGTAAAAGTTCATCAGGTAGAATCTGAATGTCTTGTGTTCCAGCAGTAATACTTAACTATAAACAGTATTCAGTAGAAACAACCAGAAACAAGAGGATCCCCCCCCTCAAAAAAAAACCTTGGCAGATTGTTCGTATTGCTTACAAATAGCGGTCCGCTCAGGACCCAAAAGCAGAGATATTTGAATGTCATGTGTCTTTTTTGTGCTGAAGTAGCTTCTGGAAGGACAGACAAATGTCACAACAATTTTAAAAAGCAAAACTCATAAAGAATCCACTCAATCTGTATCTTACATAATTTGAATATTTTGCAGTAATATTAATTCATAACATAGAACAGTCACGAATGAAGCTGTTGGTGCCTAAGACGGCTGCATTTATTTGTCTTGTATTGGAAATAAACAAATCCTTAGTAATGGTATTAGAAACTATCATATGCAATTTAAACTTTTTTAAAAATATTTTTCATTCTCTCCCCCAAATCTGAGTGACCTCTCTAATAAAGGGCTGGGCACCTTCCACCAAACAGTCAGTCCTCTCCCTAGCCACTATGGGTCACGCTTCTCTCTCTTGCCACTGCATGTTGCTGAAATTATTTTGGCAGAAGGAAATAAGTCCCCACACACACACACACACACACTTCAAAACAAGATGTGCAGAAAGTGTTCACAGGCTGTGCTTAGTCTTCCAGAAATGTGATTTTTGTGTTATACTGTTTCTACCATGGTATCTCCCATTTATTTATTTAAAGACATAATCCCATCCTGAGTGCTGCTCCTGCTCTAGAAGAGCAGGATATAGAATTCCTACAATAAATAAATGTTATGTTATGTGCCGTTAGCTTGGAACCAGGTTATAATGAACCTAACAGGGTTTTCCAGGTAACAGAAATATTTTAATTAATGGTTTTACCAGTATCACACCTCCATTTTCCATGGCTGAGTGGGTATTCAAGCCTATGTCTCGTGAGTTATAGACCGTCACTTTTCCACAGCACCGCACTGGGCAGCATCCCAATAAATAAATACAAACGCATAAACCACCTGCCTGCATGTTGACTTACGTTCATTCTTAAAATGAACTAAGAGCAGAGTGTGTGAGATTATCCTGTTTTATCATCACAGTAACCCAGTGAGATAGTTTGAGAGAAAATGGCTGGCCTAACATCGACCAGTATCTTTCATGGTTCAATGGGAATTTGAAGCCAGTTTTTCTTGGCCCAGATTCTACTTTCTGTTCCATAAATCACATGGGTACTCATATAATCACACAAATAACACTCTCTGTAAGGATATGATAATTCAGCACCCTTTTTCCCCTGAGAAAATTATTGTAATGGTTACAGCTTGACGGTTTGCTGATCATCACAGTTTTCGATTGGCAACTACATTGAAAAGCATTGAAAACAAACTACAAGCACATCTCTCAAGGTGTGTCTCCTGTAGAGCCTTTGTGTTCACGTTAGTTTTAATTTGTTTTTTTAGCCTCGATTTCATATATGACCTCTTTGAACACATTTCAAGCCGCAGCAGTCAAGACACTTTGAAATGTGGGAGCAAACATCGGAGACCCACAGTCAGCCTACAGTTCAAGGTTAGTTCCTTTGTCCAATTATCTTTTCTAGACTTATGTTCTGGGACTGCTTAGCATTTTAGATCCAATATCAAAATTTTGAACATGGATATAATTGCTTTTGAGAAATAATTTTATTGTTGGGAGGAGGTGGCTTGATTTCCAGCCCTCTAAAAAATAAGTATTGAGTCTGTTCTAAGACTTTTTTGAATTGGCCTTGCATCTTATTTCAAAAATAACTTGTTATCAGACATGCCCTGTAGGAAAAGTACGTTGTCATATGTTGCAGATCTTGCCACTAGGTGCTGCTACAGTGACTGCTAACAGTGACTTACAGCATGAGTTACAAGTTTTATTTTCCTTTTTTCCCCCTCCTGTTTTAGGATTCACTGCATTCCTTAATGGCAACACTAAGCACCTCTAACCCTTTCTTTGTTCGCTGTATCAAGCCAAATATGCAGAAGGTAAGATTTAAGAGTGTTTTTTGCTTTGCCTCGTTTTGCCACAGGTCTAGAGACTGATAGCCTGCTTCTACTGGACATGTCTTTTCATGCTCATTGCTATCTTTGGAACTGTAGTAGAAAAGTTCTGGTCTTACTATTTAAAATAGTAAATAATTTTACAGATCAGCAACTTTCAGGCATCTAATCCCTTATGACACAGTTTTAATGAAATCTTGTACTGTATTAAAGAACTTACAAAAGAGCAGCAGGAAAAGCTTTTTGTTTACTGCTTGTTGATTTTGCAAGACAGACCCTTTCAGGGTGCAATGCTGTATGGGGCTGGTCCTGAGGTGGACAAGATGCTTCACTCCCACCCATATACTGAGGCTGCGAAGGCTGGCAGTTGAATCCTGCCTCAAATATTGGCAAAGGGGGTATGATCCTCCATCACATCTGAGGGCAGCATCTTGTGGAGTGCAGAACAAGCTGTGTGACACATATAGTTTTGCCTCCCAGAAAGGAGAATGAATTAGGCAACCAGCTGGCTGATATCCTTTGATTTGTAATCCTGCATTGTGCAGGGGGTTAGACTCGACGGCCTTTTAGGCCCCTTTCAATGTCATGATTCTAGGGATTTAGGCAAAAGAATTGCAGACAGACAACTATCTGATGCCACTCTACCTAATGATAGGGCTAGCCCTGAACCTATCAATAGTTAACTTACCAGTAAATCCCATAAGACTTACCGTCAGATACGTGCATTTATTATTGCAGCTCTAAGGTAGTAAGCAGTCAGCTCTTCATGGTTATTAAAATAGGCTTTTAACAAGCCACTTTCTGATAACTACTCTTTCATTTGTTAGCTGTTGATTTTCTAGCTGAGGACCCCCTTGATAAGTTTCTGGAAACCTCCAAATGCCCTTCAATGCAGTACGAAAACCACAGGCTTGGATTCCGATATGGTATTTCTAGGGAATGATTCCTTTTCAGAAATTGTATGCCTAAAACAGAAGTGTTTAATATTGGTCATTGATTATGTTCCTTAGATCCAGGTCAGTAAACTGAAGCAAACACTTCTGTGTGGAAACCATTCTGAGTAGAAACAGACTGGAACTTTTGCTATCGATTGTTCTTGTTATCTTAGTTTGTGCAAATACTTGTAGTGTCCCCGATTAAGGTCCTTATTGCATTGTAAGGCCAGTATTTACAGTTTTAGAGTATAACATTCTTTTGGTGTAATGTTCATGCTGGCAGAAGCTCCACCACCATGATGTGGGAACACTCAAAGGGAGAAAGAGGGGAAAGAAAAAGGCATTTGGGCAAGGAAATCTTTAAATCCCTCCTGCCACAGTGGTCCTGGGGACTGTCAAAGGCAGGTTATTTGGGGCCATTGTGAAAAGAGAGTATGGTACTGACACAGCCATCTGAGAAGCAGCTACACTGTGTCAGTTGACCTGCAGCACTTCGACAAAAGTCCAGTTGCACACACAACATACAGTTGCAAGTGGAGAAGTAAGACCTAAATCTGTGTTCAAGTATATTTCAGTAATCACCCATCAGTACATCCATCTGTCTCTCATTCTTTATTTTATCAGTACTTTAGGTGTGAAGTCTTACAGTGAGTCTGTCTCTGGTTCACAGGCTGTTTTAGATAAATGAGGCCATTTGGACTCATTACATACGTAAAAATATATGTTTTGCAGGTAGTGAGAGCAGGCTTTGGGTTCACACCGCTCTTCTCAGATGCTTCATGTACAAGTATGGAAGAGTGAGATCTAAATACATTGTTGGCACCTTCTCCTCTGCACAGTGCCAGGTGGGATCTGTGTGCCCAAATGCCTACCATGCTCATCCTCCCAGCTTTTAATAGCCAAAAACAAAGCAGCTGTTTTCATACTAAGATTCAGAAACTAAGCCTTTGTTTTCTGTTACATGCATGCTTCCTTTAATAGTATCTGTCCTGTTCTCTTCACAACGTGATTCAAAGGGAGGGTTATAAAAACCTTTGTGAAAATTAGTAAACTCAACTGTTAATGCAGACTGCTGGTATTAAAATAGAAACCTTCCCATAGTAATAACAGTTGAAAACAAATTAAATTCTTGATGAGATTAAACCAGTTAGCTGTTCACCTGAAAGATTTGTGGGAAGGTGCCACTGAAGTCTAATTCTGCCCTTAAAAAGATGTGTTGGACAAACAGGCTCTAAAAGTTTCCTTTTCCTTCAACTACAATATAATCTTTGATTCTTAAGGGACAAATGTTAGGAAGCAGTATGCCCATGGAGTAATAGGTACCCATCGCTGATATCTCTGTGGTGGTGGATAAATGAGCACGATTTTTTTAACCTAGGGTCAAGTGTACAGTTGTGCAGCTGCTGGGGGAGTAGACACAAGAACACAAGGCTCATGCCTGCATCCCAGCACATTTTTGTTCAGCTGTGAACCAGCCCAAAGGATAGAAATAACACATGTTTCTCTGTGTATCGGTCTGTGCCAGATCAAGCTGCCTTGGCTGCAGGAGAAGCTGTCCCTGTGTGCATGGCTTGGCAGAAAGGTGATGACAGGTGCAAAGTTTAATAGAATAGGAATCACGGTGAGATGAACAATTCATATTAGCTGTACACTGATTCAGAAGGAAATATAAGTAGTGCTCAATTAGAAATAAAATAGTTGTTGTTTAACTTAACCTGGGTGATTTAACTCTAGGTGTTATACTTCTTTTTCATATTGGTGTATGTCAAGGTTAAAAAAAATGGGGGGGGCAGGGAGGAGAAGCTTGAGTAATTGTCTAGACAGGACCTGACTGACTACATTGCTACCCTTGTCTTGCATAACCAGCTTATCAAGTGTATCTGATGACTAGCTTCTAACTTTCAAGACTGGCACCTGAGTTCAGCCAAAGCTTTTATGAGGAACTAGATTCTTACACATGTGAGAGGTCACTCAGGGACAGAGCAAGTAGAAAATATGAGAATCTGGCTCACCTTTCTTCAAAGGAAGTAGTTTAAGCAAGAATCGCGATACGTGCTCAGTACTGCACTGTTCCTGCTTTGTAGTCTTGACATCTGATCAACACTTTAAATTTACTGGAAAAGCTCACTGCCACCCAACAAAAATGTGTTATATCATGTTTTTTTTTCCTTTAGAAGGGGTGACAAGTAAACCAAAACCTCAAGAGTGCCATGAGAGTGCTGCCAAGAATAACATTCTCATTGTGGTTGTATCTATGTACAGTATAAGGCTGAATAACTGTTTACTGTCCTGCGACAGTGACCCTGGAGCTCAACCATCCCCATCCCGGCATTCCTCCTCTGGTACATCCATGAGGATAAAAACATGAAGCTTTTGCTACTATTTTAGCTTAACCAGTTTTGTGTTACATCCAAAGTCTCAGCTATAGTGAATCTTAGCTTGTTTGTTGAAACAAGTCACCTTCATAACCCGCAGATTTGAACTAGGACTGTACCGTTTGGGGGAAATGGGATATCAGAAACATTACTTTCTTGGACTACAGTTTTGGCCTAATTCAACCAGACACAAGTGGGGTGGGGGACACATTTTCCTGACTACAATTCTTGGAATTTCCCAGTTAGCCATGCGGGCTGGGAGATTCTGGAGTTGTAGTTCAAACAACAATAGCAGCAGCAGCTGCTGCTTTTCTAATCTCTGGTTGAAGCAAACTAGATAGTCTTCAGTCTCTGAAACCACAAAAAGCTGTGGCTAGTCTGAAGTGAAAGCAAGCGCTGTTAAATCCCTCTTCACAACTGCAAGAAGAGACAAGTAGAGAAGAGGAGCATGTGAGCTAAAAGCTTACTGTGGCTTATCCTCAGTACTCTAAATCTAAACCACATCTTAGGATAAGGTACAAATGAGAGCAGTGAGAGGAATCATCTCCCCGGTGATCATCACATGCATTTCCCCAACCCAGAGACACTGGCATGAAGCAGGAATCAGAGATACCGAACATGATTAACATTACAACTCAGGGTAAGTGATGGATATAGAGGAGTTAGGGCCCCACTTAGTGCACAGATCCTATTTGCTACATTTAGGTAGAGTCTTAACACCGGAGGAAGGTTTGTTAATGCTTATAGATAACCTATACAAAAAGGTTGTTTAAAATAATGAAAACACCTTGATAGCCTTTATTAGGGGTTCAGTGAAGTTCAGAAGTGCATATGAGGAGACAGCCTTTCAGCCTCTGAATTCTGCTGATATAAAAGGGTGGCGTGAGTAGTGCTTTTTAAAAGCTATCTAGAATCATATTCAGAAACATGGAGCCTGCTATTTAAAATGACAGAGCTTTCATATGTGCAAAAGGGTAATGAATACCCATTTGTAAGACACTGAAGCAGTACAACTACTTATGCAACAAACCCATGCATGAATAGCAGACATGAAGAGAATACAGGCATTCATGTTCAAGCTGAACTTTATTTTTGTTTTTTAAAAAATGGATGTGCGGTATCAAAGAAAAGTAATACTGTACTCATTGTTTTTAATCTGATAATGTATTGGCATATCATAATATGGTTTCCCTCAGTGGAGCACCCACAGGGTATATCAAATGAATGGTATGTTTGCCACAAAATATTTCAACAGGCACATCACAAGTTGTGTTTATGCAGGGGAGCTGTCAGTATATGTTCTTCCTCTTGCCTAGTATGGAATATGCTCTCTTAGGCACACTCTTACAGTAGTTGCTACAGAAAGATTCTGCCTGCCTGCCTCTCAGTTTTGTCAATTCCAACCCCACCCCATACATTTCCATAGCAGAGTGGAGATTCTAACCAAGTTCTCCCGAGTTCCAGTCCATAACTATCCACTACACCACACTGGGTTCCTATAATGTAGCAATTTGGTAATTTTAAAAGCATGCCATTTCATTTTGCCCCACCATAATATTTTCTGTCTATTCCCAGTCATTCCTTTAAGTATGGCTTCTGGGCATGAAATTTCTTTACCTCGCTGGAGTGATGTAAATACTATGCAGAGTCCACCGTAACCATGGGTAAGGCATTT